ACATACACAACATACGCTCTGAACTATGTAATCAGCAGTCACGAACGAATAACGATGGTCTTCCATAACTCAATAGTCTCAAATGTCCCGCCCGCCCCCTGATCATCCACCGGTGCCGTCCCAGTGCACAGTGGGGATTTTTCCGATCTAGCACGTATTTATTCGTAGAGGGCAAACCATAGGTAGAATTGTAGCCAGATTGTGCACAGATGTTGGCTGGTGTGTCCTGGCGAGAATTTTACCTGTAAATGTGCATAATCAACATAGTATAGGGGGTTCAATTGGACCCCCCGCTCAGCCGTTTGGCCCCTGATCAAGCTAGAGCTTTGCGGAAAAGTCAAACGTGCTGCCTATGACGAAATTAGGCCGAATTTATCCAATTTCAAAGTCCAAGGTCATAAGCTGACTTTCCAAGTCAGTTTAATGACCCAACTAAAGTTGGGAAATCGAGACCTCTTGAAACTTCGCAAAGTTAGGGTGTTACGGGGTATTTTGGGGTGCTGATCACGAATTTCATGTAAGTTTTGATCACAGACGATGTCTTTATGCATTTAGGCCAGGTCGGGTCAGGTCAGGTTAGATCAATTAGTAGGCGTCCTGCCGGCCATCCATAGAAGTGTCACCTACTACTGATAGCTTCGTAACATGGAACGAAGGCACTAGAACTACTTCGTAAATATTCAAATGGCTGCTAAAATCGAAATCAGCACCAAAAACTACCCTAAAAACAAGTAAAACTCGAAAAAGTGAACAAAGGTCATCAAAAGGTCAATGACCTTGACTTGACCTTCACGTGACCTTGACATCCACCATTATGCATGGCACCAACATCATTTCACATATTTGAACGTTTAAAACCACAAAAAGACTGGAAACCGCGGATAATGTGAGCTGGCATACGCCGAATCGCGATTCCGGCCAACCATGGTCTCGAGAAATATGCCACAGGTCAAAGGTCAGTTGGGTCAGAGTCATGAAATTTTTAGATTAGATGTAAAATTGATGATCTCGAGGGTACCGAAAGTTTCGGCGCGATCGGCCGCTTTTTGCGCGAGTAATTTGCGGAAAACCATGGGGTTTTATCCGACCCCTTCCCCCTCCCCCTCCCCACAAGTGCGATGGTTGATAAGGTTACGGTATGTATAATTTACGCTTGTCATCCTATTCCTAATGAATGTGTCTCAGAAAATATGCATCATATAAATCACGAAGTAAAATTATTCGCCTATGTCCGGAACATACATATCGTGCTGTTTGCCCTAGCGCTCCTCGAGTGGGGTGTTAAGATACTCTAATGTGAATATTCCGTGTTCAGGCAAGTTTCGGCAGCCAAACTAGGCGTTGTCTTGTGCAGAAGAAAGTGGCGAATTCGATAGGATATATTTCGGAGTGGAAAAGTGTGGAGAACATTGGTGATTTCCTACATTTATTTAGAATACCATTCCTTCAATATGGTGTCTGTAAGAGTTTTTTGTAAAGGGCATTTTTGTGACCTTAGTAAGGTTGTGGCATACTTTCTGTTTGCCATTCCATTCCTAATAAGGTGCCTTTCAGACGATATGCAACTTTAAGACCTCGCAAGATTAAAACCAACAGGACAGGACAATGAAATTGAGCTATACTTTGGGGCCTTGCTGAGCCCATTGAGTAATCACGCATGAGTGTGAACTTTGGGCGCATTTTTCCTAGTTTTGCTGTGGACATACAGATAAAACAATGCCATATATGAAAAATTCAGACATTTCTTAGCCCTACTGACACAAAAAATAAACCAAAATCCAAAAAAATATTCTTTGAATTAATAGGCGCTAGATCGGAAAAATCCCCACTGTGCAGTGGTCGGTCAGGGCTCGACCGGTGGTCGGTCGGCAGACAGACCGACCGGTCACCGCCAGGTCACGGCCGGCCCACAGACAAGCACGCCGTGCCGCCGCCGGGGCCGTGGCCGTGCTCCGGCCGTGCCCTGACCGGGCTCACCGGCTCTGACCCACCGGCCTCAGAGATCTGACACCAACTACGGGCTGGACGAGCCGCCGAGCGGCCTGCCGACCGACCGCTCCCGTATGGCAGCGGGCCGCCGCCAGCTGCACCACCCGACACCGACAACAAGCACCGACACACTGTCACAGCACATCCAGCAGCCGGCTTGTCTCGCTGTCAACCACGGGCACTCGCCTGTCCATCAACGCACTCACAAAATCAACTTATCACCCCCGCCTGTCCATCAACACACTCACAAAATCAACCGGTCACCTCTCGTCAAATACACACAAAATAATACCGAGCTCACAGCCATTCCCGTATTTATCGGAAAATCCCACCACAGCAGTCACCCCCGTTGCCGTCGTGTGGCCTTTCCGTTGCAGTGCGGGACGATTGTCAGCCCCCGTCGCTGCTGTGGCCAGCGGGCGGCTCCAGCACAGCGGCGAGCGTTACTGGCTGCAGCCGGTGTGTCCGTGCCCACAGCCGGGTGCAGCTGTTGGAGGCCGTGTTGGAGGCCAGTGTGACGTCACACCGTCGTGCCGTCCCAGTCCGTGTCAGTGTCCGAGTGACAGTGGTCTATATATATATACAGTGTCAGCTGTGTCCAGCTGCTGGTGCTCCGACTGGCAGCTGAACTGACACACTGACACTGCAGCCCCTGACAGTGTCAGACCGGCCCCCGGTCAGTGTCAGCTGCCGGCACGGAGAGCGGTCCGGTGACACTCCCAGCTGCAGCCCCCTCCCCGTGGCTGGTGCCGCTGCAGTCTTATTGTGCCGGTGGTCAGCTCCGGCAGAATCCACCACAAACAGCTGCCGCCACTCCTCTGCCGCCGCTCCGACACTCTATTCCGGCAGCCGGGCACCAGATAGCTGCAGTGGCTAGCAGTGCATTCACTCCACATGGACACACCGCTCGGAACGTCTCGCCAGACCGACCCGTCTCGGCCGGAGGGGGGGTGAGGGGGGGGGGGGGGGGCGCGGCGAAGGCGGCCAGAAAACGGCGCAGCCGAAGCCAACCAGCAGACGCCTCTGTGGCACACGCGCCAAGCACAGACCAATCAGCAGACGCAACTGCGGCACACGCGTTACGCACAGACCAATCAGCAGACGCCTCTGCGGCACGCGCGCCACGCACAGACCAATCAACAGACGTCTCTGCGGCACGCGCACCACGCACGGACCAATCAGCAGACGCTTCTGCGGCACGCGCGTTACGCACGGACCAATCAGCAGCGCCTCCCGCGACTGGCTCCGGCCGGCCGCTGGAAAATGGCCGTAGAAAAGAGGCACACCCGCCGACACCTTAGGGCTTGTCAGTGGCCGTGGTGGTGTGGTCAGGTGGTGTGGTGGCCGCACGGCACGGGGTGGGGCCGTGATGACATGTCGTGGATGAGACGGTCTCCGAGACACCCGGGAAATCTGACGACCCAGCCGTCCCCAGCCGGTACGTCCCCAGCCAATACGTCCCCAGCCGTCCCCAGCCGGTACGTCCCCAGCCGGTACGTTTCCCATTGATACAAAGGTAGTTTGAACAGCTACTTTTTTGTTCGTTTGGAAATAACTACACTGTTTTGATATGCAAGATGACATGATTCGGTGTAAAATGTCACGGTCCCTGCAATACACAGTATCACTTCGCTGTAAGTCCGACATAACGCTGTAGGTGTGTTAGATTCTTTTCAATGCCAGAGCGTTTTTTTTTTTCCTAATGCGAGCGGCCAGGAGGTGGGGGGTATGACCCCCTGGCGATTGACTTATATGACATCTAGAAACACGATATTTAAAGGGTAGGTACTAGGTGGACCAATAAAAATGTCCCTCCTGTACAACATTGGTAAACCTAGGTGTTAGCATGCAAATACGTTGGTATTTTTAGGTATTTTCGCAAAGACGGCCGGCGCTCGGAGCGCGGCGGTCGGTCCGCCGCGCCGCGCCGGGCACATATGTGTCATCTGGCCCCTGTCCTGGTTCTCAGGCCCACGTGTTGTGCTACCACGAGGGCTGAGACGGGACGGGGGCCCGACAGTCTTCGACGGGACTCCACCGGTGCGCGACGGCCGGTGCACGACGTGGCCGACGTGGCCTTACGTACGACGCGGCCGACGTGGCCCTACGAGAACGATTCAGTGAACGGCATTTGTGACCGCCGTATTTTGTGCATTTTAACCCTTCCATTTCATTCAAGAAAAGAATTTTACTTATTTATGTATGAAAGCTTTTCATTCCCCCCCTCCCGCTTAACCCGCGCACCGACGGGGGTCTGCGCCAACTTCGTACCGACGGGGGGGCGGATGACCGCCCCCCCCCCCTGAGATCTCGAGAACGGAGCAAGATAGCGACAAGCGGTAAACGGCATCGGATACGCACGGTCAATGTCTACAATTTTTACAATGGTCATTTTCAGGTCAGGTCAAAGATGACGTCACAGGGGTCGAAAAAGTCAAAATGGCGGCGCTTGATATGGAGAGAGTTGTTCTCGAATAACTTTCGAATTAGATTAGTCAAGGTAGGAACAAACTAAGTGCATCATCGTGATCCTCTCGTCAATCCGCATCGAATGATATATATGTTGACCTCGAAAAGGTCAAGGTCAAAGGTTTACCTCAGGTCACGTGACCTCGAGGTCATCATGTTTATCATTCGATGCGTCTTGACGAGCTGAACACCATGAGACCATCCGCGCGGCTGTATCTTGTTCCTGTACGGAGTTATGGGCAAAAAAACCGCTGGTGACATTTTGACATGAAGAGAGGATAGAGGAGCAGCTGTACGAAATTCAGGCTTCTAGCTCTAACAATGTGGAGTGCAGAGCAGAAAGACTACCTGGGGGGGGGGGGGGTGGAGGTTGGGTACCACCCCCCATGTGCGGGCGAGGCTTAATCAATCTCCCCCTCCCCAACCCCTGACCGGGCGAGGGATGAGATGTAGGTCTGAACTCTCCATTTTGTCGAGATATCCACTGAGATCATAAATCCGCCTCTTACATCCCTGCACAGTGCACATGTCTGCTGCTCACTATGGTTTATACTACCGAGCTGCACGGGGTGTCCGGAGGGATGGGGGAGTTCCAGACGGCCGGGGAGGGGTGAAGGGGGGGAGGCTGCTGCACCGCCATCCGGCCCGTGTTATCACGAAACCATGGTGGCTTTCCGCTGACGTCATCAGTCTGGAACGCCGCGCCGCCAGCTCACTGGACACGCTAGAGTCTCCTCGCTACGGGACAAGGCCCATTGGAACCCGGACATCCAAGTACTTGACGAATGTAGAGAGTTCCCATTTTATTTTATTGTTGTTGCTGACTAGCCTTTACGAGGCAACAGTCCACTTACATCAACAGTGTTCCATGAACGCCCCGGCTCGCCATTAGTTACAGTACGACGCCGGTGACCGGTAGGGGCGCTGCAGTCGCCCAGCGGCCCGAGGTCGGCCGTAGGGGAGAGCGGGGCCAGTTGAACCACTTTTTATATATTGACATGCACAGCGAGATCTAGTCTTCATATCGAAAAATGCACAATGCTATGAAAAAATATGCTCTTTTGGCTTTATTTTAAGATATGTAAAATTATGTTTCAAACATATTTTGCTGCCAAACGCATGCTTATAAAACAGCTCTACGCCCGTTTCAAATGACCCCGATGCGAGGGTCAATTGAACCAGCCCATGGGGTCAATTGCACCTATCCTTAACAATGGGATGTTTTCCTCTTTAAGGCCACTTTCTTAAGGAGATATTTTGTCCGGTTTACTTTTCCAAATGCTAGATTCAATAGGTCGTTGGAAAGCTAAAAGTGCAAAGTTCCTCATAATAGGTGACATAAAGTACATAGACTGTGGCAAAATGGGCGGATGAGGAAAATGAGAAATATCTCAGGCTATAGTGTGCTTTCAAGCAAAAGACTGGAGAAAATGGGGTCAAAAATCGAGATCTATTAAACTACTATTTCAGTTTAAAAGCTCATTTTAAATGTGGACTATTTCCCTTAATGTTTACAGCCCCTGAACAATAACCATTGCAAAGGTCACCGGGGTCCATTGAAACGGCCTGTGGCCCTGTTTCAACTGACCCTCAGAAAAGCGTTTCAATTGACCCCATCCGCTCCCGCCATCTCGCACGCGCCGTAAAGCACATGTCAAACGAGCTGGAGGGACGGCATCATACTGAATGAAGGGCCAAATAAGGTGTTATTCCGGAGCCAGGAGTTCTTCTTTCAGCAAACAAAGGTATATGAGATATCACAAAATATTCATGAAAACGATTTCTCCCAAACGCCCCTCAAAAACACAAAAACAAGTGTCAAATCAAAATTACCGTCCGTTTGCCGCCCAAACGCCGTTAACAAATGAAGTGGTCGAGCGCGGATGCGCAGTGGTGTCGGCAACGCCATATGTTGCATACTGTTGAAAATAAAGCCATGTTTCATCTGACCCCGTGTTTCAACTGGCCCCGCTCTCCCCTAACCGGTACCATGACTCAGCGGCGCCCCGCCCCGGGGTAATTACATACTGCGCAGTTGCAGCGGTCCAGACCGGGACAAAGGCCGACGGAGGAGCACGAGCTGCACTGCGTCCACCGGCCGGTTCAGTCGACAGAGCGGGTGGTCCAACAGTGTGTGGACGGTACTGAGCTCTGTCCACCGGAGCCGACCACGGCGGAGGCGGCGAATATCAGGTGAGCAGGACCGACCTGTGTGTGAGGGGGGGGGGGGGGTCTGTGTGTCCCTGTGTCTGTTGTTGAGTGTGTTTTGTGCGTCTGTGTCTATAGTCAGACAACATGTGTTTTTGTAACGGTTTGTATGTGATTCTGTGATTCTTTGTGTGTCTTCTCTGCGTGCTAGATACCCGTCTGAGTGTTTGGATGTCTGTGCTTACATCAACATGCACCCTCGCCCGCACATGCTATTTTCCCATCCTAGAACGCACATGGGGGGGGGGGTTGCCACCCCCCTGCGCCATTTCGCTCCTGTTGGAGATAGAGCTTAGCGGTAAGACCAAAAAGATTCTTTGGGAAGAGACAAATCCAATGATACCCAGTTTTACCTTCTCAGGTCAGTCATTGACCTTCCTGGTCAGGTCAAACTAAAAAATGTTGCTGTTTTGGGTCACCCTTGGATATCAAGTGCGCTGCTTATCATATACCGATGACGATGCCGTTTTCTGGTGCCAATCCAGCTAGAACCTCTTTATCCCGGAAGTTGCTACTTGCTGGGGTATTTCGCCACCCACCGTTTGCTGGGGGGGGGGGGGGGGCGTTAAACGCCCCCAGCCGATAACTCGAGAACCAATAGGCGCAGCGAAACGCACGAGGCGGCAAACGAAAGAGCGCGACGAGACGCTTCAGATGAGTACTTTAAAGTTGAATTTTGAGGTCACAGGTCGGGTCAAGGTCAGGTCAAACACCTGAAATCGGGCTTTCAGTAGCATGGACTTCAGGACTTCGCAATGGGCGCCTCTCGTCATAAACTCTGTCCACACGGTGCACAATCCATCATATAAGGCCTACAAGAGTGTCAGCTCCATGTAGGGGTCAGTCAAGCATAGGTCAGGGTCAAGGTCAGGTCAACCGGGTAGGCACATATCCCCGAAAATCAAAACTGATATTCGCAGCCTGTGACACATGTTTTATAGGTAATTTGGGGCGTAGAACACGATGGTGACATTCAGTGACGTACCCAAGGGGGGGGGCACGGGGGCCATGGCCCCCTCCTGAGCGCCGAAGGCGCTCAGGGGGCCCCTCAGGCCCCGGTATATTTTTTCAAACACTAGATAAAACGTCTTTTACTAGGAAGAAAAAATGATATCAAAGTTTCATTTATGTGCCCCTGGTTACCCGAGGGGCCCCTGATGACCCAATGGGCCCCTGCAGTCATCCGAGGGCCTCCGGTTTCCTGGCCCCTGGTCGCCTTGGGGGCCCCTGGTAGCCGGGGCCTGGTCGCATGGGGGCCTCTGGCAGGGGCGGTCGCAGACTTGGAGTTTGGGGGGGGCCAACTTGGCAAAGGGGCCCCTGCGCTGACCCGGGGGGCCCGGTGCTAGCTTAAAGGGGCCCACGGGCGTAGTGCACGGGTGCAGAAACCTAGGCCATGGCCGGTGAAGCGGGGGGGGGGGGGGGTAGGCAGCGGCACCCGAGCGGAGGCTCATTGAGAGCTTTGAGGGTGCACCATGTCGAAAAGGTACCGAAAAGTGCATTTTGAAGCATTGATTATGCCAATAATTCACGCAACTGTGAATGGACTACCGCAAAAATAAAGCCGGCTAACTTTGCAATTTTCTTTGCAAAAAAAAAAAACTTTGCCATTTTTTAAGATCATCGTGCTAAAACTTTTATCAGTGGCTCATCGGTATCTGTTCACACATGTGTTCCGACTCCCGTTTAATCTTTTTTTCACTTGAGCACAAATGCAAATTTTGAAGACCATTACAGTAGCAAATGCTTCGAAAGACGGATAGTGGGCAAAATATCCTAAATTTGTCGTGCTGCATGGAAAGTAGTGTTGCTGAGGAAAGGGGGTTTTGTTCCAGATTATTGTGGATGCAGAATACATTGTCTGCACTCACTGCAGAATTATTGTTGGTGCAACTGCGCCCACTGCACCCATGGTTCCTACACTTATGGGCCCATCGATAGCGCTTCGGCGATACCTATCGCCTAGAGGCTGCAATGGGGCCCTTAGAGTACGGTGTCAGACCCCCAGAGGCCGGCGTTGGACCCAAGGATCTGCGAAGGGCCTCAAAGGCCCCAGGTAGGGCCCCAGAGGCTAATGTGGGCCTTCATAAGCAAGTGCGTGACGCCCAAAGGTAAGGCTTGAGCCCCCCAGAGAACATAATAGGGCCATCAGTGGCCGGTGTAGAGACCTCATAGGCCAGTTTGCGGGCCCCTCAGAGGCTAGTGTGGGGCCTCAGGTGTCGCTATGAGGCACTTAAAGACCGGTATGGGTCCTCAGAAGCCGGCATCGATCCTTCAGAAGCCAGTACGGGGCCCTCAGAGGCACATAAGGGCAGTTTCGGTCCCAGAGACAGAAATGGGACCATCAAAGGCCGGTGTGGGTCGTGGGACCTTTAGAGGCTAGTTTGGGCTCTTAGGGGCCAGTTTAGAGCTCTCAGAGACCAGTACAGGGCCTGCAAAGGGCAGTTTGAGACCATCAGAGACCGAATTGGGCACTCAGAGGCTAATATGGGTCCTTACAGGCCAGCATGGAGCCCTCAGAGGTTAGGGTGGGGCCCTAAAAGACCGACATGGGCCGGCTTTGGACCCCAGAGGCCAGAAGAGGGCCCTCAAAGGCCAAGATGGGCCCTCAGACTAAGCCGATGCGGGCCCTTAGAGGCCGGCATCAGGTCTTCAGAAGCCCGTGCGGGGCCCTCAGAGGCTAAGGTGGGTCCTTACAGGCCAGCACGGGCCCTCAGAGGTCAGTGTGGGGCCCTAAAAGACCGGCATGGGCCGGCGTTGGACCCCAGAGGCCAACAGAAGGCCCTCAAAGGCCAAGATGGGCCCGCAGAAGCCGATGCTGACCCTTAGAGGCCGGCATCGGGTCTTCAGAATCCAGTGTGGGGCCCATAGAGGCTAATGTGTATCCTTACAGGCCAGCATGGGCCCTCAGAGGTCAGTGTGGGGCCCTAAAAGACCGGCATGGGCCGGCGTTGGACCCCAGAGGCCAGCGGAGGGCCCTCAAAGGCCAAGATGGGCCCTCAGACGCCGATGCGGGCCCTGAGCGGCCGGCATTGGGTCATCAGAATCCAGTGCGGGGGGCCCTTAGAGGCTAATGTGGGTCCTTACAGGCCAGCATGGGCCCTTAGAGGTCAGTGTGGGGCCCTAAAAGGCCGGTATGGGCGGCGTTGGACCCCAGAGACCGGCGGAGGGCCCTCAAAGGCCAAGATGGGCCCCCAGAGGCCGATGCTGGCTCGACATCGGGTCTTCAGAATCCAGTGCGGGGCCCTCAGAGACACTTAAAGGCTAGTCTTGGGACTCGAGAGACAGAAATGAGGCCACCAGAGGCCGGTGTGAGGCTCTCAGACGCCGGTTGGGCCCCTGAGGCCGGTTTAGGGGCCCTCAAAGGCCAGTGGAGGGCCCTCAGAGGTCAATACGGGTCCTCAGCGGTCAATGTGGACGCTTGACCGCCACTGAAGGGCCCTCAGAGGTCAGTGTAGGACCCTCAAAGACTGGTATGGGAGCTGTTAATAGCTGGCGTGGGTTTCTCGAGCCTCGTGACAATCGAATACGGGCCAGGGCCCCATACGGCCATGGGGGCCCATCGGTTGTTTGGGGGGGGCCAAATGATATGATGGCCCCCCCTGATTTGCCTTTGGGGGGGCCATGGCCCTGATGGCCCCCCCCTGCGACCGCCACTGGCCTCTGGTCGCATGGGCCCCTGATCGCCTGGGGCCCCTAGTCGCCAAGGGGGCCCCTGGTAGCGGGGCCTGGTCGCATGGGGCCCCTGGTCGCCTGGGCGGCCTGGGGCCCCCCGGGTGACCTAAGGGCCCCTTCGGAAGAAGGTGGCCCCCTCCTGGGCGAAATCCTGGGTACGTGCCTGGTGACATTCATTATATCATATGTGTACGTGTTTGGCTCAAAAAGTTCAATTTAAGAAATGCATGTATCATGGTCGTGAAGCAGTCACGAAAAATTGCCAAGATTCAATTCAAGATTATGGAAAATGCGGAGCGATAATCAATAATCGAAGACAGCCATTTGATTTATCATGGTATTGGCAGTCTAATGGCGTTTACGGCATGTCTTTATGTCTATTTTGTGATTTTATATGATTTTTTTTAAACATATGCCATTTTTGGTCGAAAACTCAGAAATAATGACGTCACTAAAACCTCAAAATCTAAAAAAATTTTGACCGATTTTTTTTTTAAACTTCGTCACAATAAACTTCAATCAATTCCCTACAGGTACCCAAAATTTTGCGCGCCTGCGGCGCGCCGTTTTTATGCTATGGCCCGGCAAAAAAAGTGGGGGCGTTTAACGCCCCCCAGCAACTCGCGGGTTATCACACTACCCGACCATATTTTTGCTGCTGAGGATATTTCAGGTCAAGCTAGGTCAAGGTCAATTATATGTGTTTGTATGTCTGTGTGTGTCTGTGTGTATACTGATGTGTGGAACGATTGTTTATGTGTCCATATTACATGAAATCATGATCTGAGAAGCTTTTACCAAAAATGCAGTCAAAAAACTTCACAAAAAGTAAATTCAGCTTGCCTAAAACGCAATTACCTTAGATGACCTAGGTTGACCTTGACCCTGACCTTGACACCTGTACATCGTCGAACAACATGTTCCATGATAGGTGGGCGGTAAGACTGGCAAAAAAAGACCGAAATCAAGGGGTCAAAAGCTCACAAGGCCCATAGCAAACGCAAGATGTTGAGAATTGGCCATTTGGGTCATGATATGACCTGAAAAACAAGGTCATATCTCCGAAACCGAAAATCACAGAAACCTGAAATTTTTAGTTGACATCAAGAAAGGATAGAGGAGCAGCTAGCTATACGAAAAATCAGCCTTCTAGCTCTAAAAGTGTCGAGTGCAGAGCAGAGAGACTACCTGGGGGGTGGCAACCCTTCCCCCCATGTGCGGGCGAGGGTTAAAGGGACCCTCCCGGCTCCCACCTTCAAAAAAGTTTATGAATTGGCTTGAAAGTGATGTCGCTCGGTTCAGTAAGAGCGAAA